TGCAGACTGTTCAAAGTTACATTCATCGTATCGGTCGAACAGGACGTGCTGGAAAGCCTGGCGCGGCGATCACTTATTTTACAAAGGATGATGCGCCATATCTCAAGAGGTAAGAATAGTTTACGATGTTTATAGTTATTAACTATAACCGAACTCTTTTTAGTATCGTTAACGTAATAAAAGAATCGGGTTGCGAAGTGCCTGACTGGATGTTACAATTGAAGTTCGTGAACAGATGAGGAAGGCCGCGAAGGCGGAGAAAGTGTTGGACAGGTTCACAGATGGCAGGCGTGGAGATAAACTACGGAAGTTAGAGGACAAGCACGTGTCTATGCAAATGATAAGCTATCGTTACTTCTGCTCTACAGTCGGTTCGCACATAGGAATACTCATAGGGATGTGGAAGATGACACATCCTCTTGCATTAATGCTGTTGTGATAGTATTTACGATTGCTATATTATTGTTGATTTATCGACAATTCCGTAAAATTCCGCGTTAAATACTATAATAATCGCAATATTCGTTATTTTATACACCTATAAATACCACTCAATGGATAATTTGAATATATTCCCAATTAAATGTTGAAGGGAATTTAAGACCGTTTTTTATAACGCAATTTATTGTATTTATTGTGGCTGATTAAAACGATTAAAATGAAACTTGAGGTCTTTTGGTCCTCTTTTAATATTAATATTAAGGCCTTTAAACTCTACACATTTTTATTGTAGTGCCATCGTGCGACACATGTGACCTGACTATCGTGTAACTATAACATCGCTACATTTTAATTTCGTCTATGTTAAGAAACTACCTACCATACACGTAATGCCGACAGTCAACGTTGATAAGCAAGACCTTTATCAGGTGCTCGGAAAACAATACAGTGAGTAAAAGTTTGATGCGCATGAATCGTGTGAAGGAGGTCATTTTAGTATATGTATATATACATGTCCATGAAATTCACTGCTAATATTTGATCCTTAACTTAATGCTCGAACCATTTTTAGATACGGAAGAATTCCGCGAATTATGCTTTGAATTTGGCATTGAATTAGAAGAGGATGTAAGATTATTACTCACCATCACTCGATGATTCCTCTCTCTGTGACGCGCATCCTCATCATCTACTCAATAGACATCTGAAAAAGAGATGGTTAGCAAAGAAATTGGAGCTGCTAAAGCAGAGGGTCTATCTGAGCGGCCGATTTTGAAAATCGATATTCCGGCTAACAGGTGATTGTCTTTATTTTTACATGTAATAAGAGGAACGACTGGCGTGTTTTTGCTGATGTTTTGATAGATATGATCTTCTTTGTCAAGAAGGTATATCGCGTGCTCTGCTTATTTTCCAAGAGAAAGCGGAAGCTCCTATCTATAGAGTAGTGCCTCCGAAGGATGGGCAAATGGAAGTGTTGACTATTAAGCCTGAGGTGCAGTGATATTCATATTTAAAATTGTTCTTATGATATTTTTATGTCAGCTTGATCACTTGCATTCAATATATTTATCAGTCTTGATCTTTCGTTGCTAGACTGCACAAATTAGACCGCATGCAGTAGCAGCGATTCTTAGAAATGTTACCTTTACGGAACGGAATTACAACAATTTCATGGATTTGCAAGATAAATTGCACAATAACTTATGCAGGTACGTGTCAACGGTCCACGCTTTAGCTGGCAATTATACATTAATTATAATACTTTATGCAGGAGGCGCACTCTTGTAGCTATTGGGACACACGATTTAGATACATTAAAGGGGCCATTCACTTATAACGCACTTCCACCCAAGGATATTCGCTTCAAACCCTTGAATCAACGCAGCAAATTTGATGGAGAGGAGCTAATGACACTATACGAGGTAATGTTGATACTCCATTCGTAAAGAAACCATATTCGATTGGTTCACGAACTAATATGATTTACCTGAATCACCATTCGCTTTCTCTCTTTATGTTTTTGCAATGGCTATTTGATTCGAAGTCTGATAAACATCTCAGTAAATTTTTACACATCATTCGGGATTCTCCTGTCTATCCTGTTATCTTTGACAGCAATGGGGTAGTCTGTTCTTTACCTCCAATCATTAATGGAGATCATTCAAAGATCACGCTAAATACAAAGAATGTGTTTATTGAATGTACAGCGACTGATTTAACGAAAGCAAAGATTGTCTTGAATACTGTTGTTACGATGTTCTCTGAATACTGTGAGGACAAGTTTACGTAAGTTTCTTATTCGCAGAACTGTATCGTGTCTTCAGGCCTCTAATTGCCTAACGTGCTGTTAATACAGTAGTTTTTCTTTCGTTCCTTTTCATAGATTTATGTTAAGACTAATATTTTACTTTATCTCCTCATTTTCTCTAGCGTCGAGCCAGTTAAAGTAATTTATCCAGACAACACTTCTCATATATACCCTGATTTATCTCTACGCCCAACAAGAGCCAAAGTGGATTATATTAACGCATGCATCGGCATTAGTCTCTCCACCTCAGAAATCATTACGCTTCTCAATAGGATGGCTCTGGACGCCAGACAAGCTCCTGATAACAACGATGAGATTATTGTGGACGTTCCACCCACTAGAGCTGATATTTTGCATGCTTGTGATATCATGGAGGACGTGGCAATAGCGTATGGGTTTAACAATATCCCAAAAACCTTCCCGGATAGTTCGACTGTAGGGAGCGCTTTGCCGATAAATAAATTGAGTGATTTGGTAAGAAGAGAATTAGCCTTGGCTGGATTTTCAGAGGTGTTGCCATTAATTCTGGTAAGTGGTATCAATGATGATGACAAGTGGGAATAACAATAATGACCGTTGTCGTTGTTTTTCGTTAAGTCTCATTACTCACATTCTCTTCTCATAGTGCTCGCATGATGAAAACTTTAGCTTTCTTAACAAGACTGATGACAACACTACTGCAGTAAAATTGTCCAATCCGAAGACTGCTGAATACCAAGTTGTTCGGACTTCTCTCCTTTCTGGAGTTCTCAAGACATTACGTGAAAATAAAAAACATCCTCTCCCTATTAAGATTTTCGAAGTCTCGGACATAGTGTTGAAAGACAACACGCAAGAACGAATGGCTAAAAATGAGAGGAGAGTTTGTGCTGTTTATTGTAACAAATCATCTGGGTTTGAGGTTGGTATAACATTTCTATGGAATATGGGGAACGTGTGAAACGTAATTTGGGTGAGGTATAAGTATATTGAATATTGACGATCGGAATTATATATTTAGATTATTCACGGCCTTCTCGATAATCTTATGCAAATGTTGCAAGTAAGCTTCGTATCTGCATCGGGATCGAATGATGGATACTATATTGAAGAATCCGATGGTAATGTATTGGGCATTGGAAATCATAATATGACTTGGAGAGATTCAACGCACAAAACTATTCTAACAGACATGCTACGTTGAAAAACTCGAATCTCACCCATCTTTCACTTCTTAGATCCAACCTTCTTCCCTAACCGCAGTGCTAAAATCTTCCTACGTTCCAAATCAACTACGGAGAAAATAGGAGAGTTTGGTATTCTCCACCCTAAGGTCTTAGAGAGCTACGACTTGTTGTATCCATGCTCCGCTTTAGAGTTTAATCTAGAAAAATTCTTGTGATGCATAACTTATTTGGTAGACTAAAGATGGGGATAATGAGGTGGAAGGAGTAGGAAGAAAGGTAATAAAGCTTAAAATTTGCTGAGTAACTTGAAGTGCTTTGCATTGTGATGGATTCTGGATACTAATTGTATTCGGTAGCTACGATTTGTCAAATCGTATCTTACCTTCAAATGGTCGTAGTAGCAACAGAAATTGGAACCACATTTTGAATGTACTAAAGGAAAAGGTATAAGAATATTTCCATCTACTTCTGTCTGACTAAAAACCCACTCCCCATTGTCATTACGTTCTGACCTTGATGTCAAGACTGCAGTTGTCACTTCAAATAAATGTTGATAATGTAGAAAGTCAGGCAAAGCCGGGATATAACTGAGGTTGGGGGGATATAACTGAGGTAGAACTGTACATACATTGCCATATAAATATATCAAAGAGTAGTTTTTTATTTTTTTTGTTGCAGTTTCCTTTTCTTTGACGCTTCAATAAGTTCCCTAAAATTCATATTGATTAATGTCAGTCACTACAATTTGGTCTCCAATACTATATTGTACCTTACCTTTTGTGTTTTATCTTGAATAGATCATATTTTGATCTTGTGTTTATGCTCTTGCGTTCGATCGGCTTCCTCCGTAGCTTCTTTTTTGAATCTTGCGACGGGTTCTTCAATTGTAACATCCAGTCAGGCACTTCGCAACCCGATTCTTTTATTACGTTAACGATACTAGAAAGAGTTCGGTTATAGTTAATAACTATAAACAACGTAAACTTTTGCATATCTATTCTTACCTCTTGAGATATGGCGCATCATCCTTTGTAAAATAAGTGATTGCCGCGCCAGGCTTTCCAGCACGCCCTGTTCGACCGATACGATGAATGTAACTTTGAACAGTCTGCG